ATCCCAATCCTGGATTGCCCTTCGTCCTTGAGGTCGATGCATCCGAGACAGGAGTAGGCGCTCTCCTGTCTCAACGTCGGTCACCCGATGGACCCCTACTTCCCTGTGGGTTCTACTCCAGGAAGCTTTCCTCTGCAGAGTGCAACTACCAGATTGGAGATAGGGAGTTGTTGGCAATCATTCTGGCTCTCAACGAATGGAGGCACCTGCTCGAGGGCTCTGCGGTTCCGGTCCTCATTCTTACCGATCATAAGAACCTGACTTATCTTTCGGAGGCCAAAAGATTGACACCCCGTCAGGCCAGATGGGCCTTGTTCTTGTCGCGGTTCAACTATGTGGTCTCCTATTTGCCTGGTTCCAAGAATGTCAGGGCTGATGCATTATCGAGGCAATACTCTGAGTTGTCCAGGGAGGACTCTGAGCCAACCTCGGTCATACCTCCGATCAGATCCTGGCTGCCATTCGCACCAGTCTGACTTCTCCCCTTGGGGAGCAGATTTTGGCGGCTCAAACTGACGCTCCTCCCGAGAGACCAGAGGGTAGATGTTTTGTACCCGAGGGGTTGCGCACCCTCCTGCTGCGTACTTACCATAACTCCAAAAACTGCCGGGCATCCGGGGAGGAACCATTTGTCTTGGGTCGTCTCTCGGTTGTTCTGGTGGCCAACTCTCCGTGCCGACATCGCCTCTTATGTAGCGGCATGTTCAATCTGTGCCCAGAATAAATCTCCACGGCATCTTCCAATGGGTCTTCTGCAACCCATTCCCAATGGGGAGCGTCCTTGGTCACACCTGGGCATGGACTTTATTGTAGACCTCCCTGTGTCTCGGGGTCATACGGTCATTTTCATGGTCGTCAATCGTTTTTCCAAAATGTGCCATTGTATTCCACTCAGGAAATTACCAACAGCGCAAGAACTGGCCACGGTCTTTTCCAGGGAGATTTTTTGCCTGCATGGGTTGCCCAAGGTGATTGTCTCGGACCGTGGTAGTCAGTTCGTGTCCAGATTCTGGCGCGCCTTCTGCTCCCAGTTGGGTATTAGTCTCTCCTTTTCTTCAGCCTACCACCCGCAGTCCAATGGGGGAGCTGCGGAGCGTTCCAATCAGGCCTTAGAACAATTCCTTAGGTGTTATGTCTCGGACCATCAGGGCGATTGGGCCGATCTCCTGCCTTGGGCAGAGTTTGCCAGGAACTCAGCGGTCAACTCCTCCTCCGGGATGTCTCCCTTCATGGCCAACTATGGGTACCAACCCGCGGTATTACCTGAGAGGTTCTCACCACAGGACATTCCGGCTGTGGAGAACCATCTTGCTGCCCTGCGTTCTTCATGGGGGCAGATCCAGAGGGCTTTGAGGGACTCGGCTCAGCGTCAGAAGTTCCAGGCTGATCGCAGACTGTTGCCCGCTCCTTCATACCAGGACGGCGATCGGGTGTGGTTGTCTACTCGTAACCTCAATCCTCGGGTGCCCGCACCCAAACTAGCTCCCCGTTTTGTCGGTCCTTTTCGCATTCTCCGCAAGGTGAATCCAGTGGCCTATGCCCTTGCCCTTCCACCTGGGATGCGGATCTCCAATACCTTTCATGTATCACTGTTGAAACCTCTGATCTGCAATCGCTTCACTACCTCTCTGCCTCGGCCCCGTCCCATTCGGGTTGACGGTCATGAGGAGTATGAGGTGAGTCGGATCCTGGACTCTCGATTGGTGCGCGGTCGATTACAGTTCCCAATAGTAAACAGTAAATCTCAGGGCAAGTGAGCGCTTAAATTAGATTCTAAAATTGATAAATTAATAAATAAAAAAATGAGACAATAGCAGCTGAACACCAAAAAAGGTACCGTATAAACCTTCAAAATAATCAGAATGAATAAAAAGGGAGGTGCAGCGCTAACTTAATAAATACACATTCATATAAACCAATGTTAAGGTGCTGATAAAGTGCAATAAAAAGGTGACTATAGATGATGAGTATAGTCCATAACGTGATCAAAACCCAAGAGAGTCTTCAAAGAACTCCAATGACTGGATTCGTGGATGAGGTGATAAAGGTATAAAGATTGCGCACTCACCAGATACGCAATCCAAATGCGCATTCAGAACAGATAATCCTAGGGTCCTCATATGGATCTGGTCAGATCTGGTCACAAAGCCCCTCGCCACTTGATAGTGTTGCCACACATAGATGAAAAAAGGCCGCTCTGCAGACGTAAAAAGGCTCCCACCGGAGCCCAAAGAACAAAAGGAGGCCAAATAGTGTGATACCTTAATGGCAAGGGGTATTTATTCCCAAAAAATCACGATACAAGCAGGGGCAGGAAAGATACTGACCATACATAGGTTTAGCAAATGGCTGCTGGGGCCCTCGTGGCGCCGGTCGGCGTGACGTCACACCGCTGTAGCCGCCCCCTGGCGCGTTTCGTGCGAAGGCACGTAGTCATAGGGGGTTAGCTTACAGCAATAAGGACTTATTGGGCTCTCCGTGTGAGTGCCTTCATTCGCAGTGCCCATACAACAATAGATGATCCTAGAGGGTGATACATGCTAACGGACCAGGGAATCCTACACGCTGATGTACCTGGATGGTGATTTATGATGTGATCTGACCTGGAAACAGATGACCTTCTCATTGCTTGATGCAGGATTTCATATTGCGTATTTTAAACGCACTTCTGGTGAGTGCGTATTTCATTCATTTGAGTCACATCACCTATCACTTCTGGACCAAGACATCCGTGCACCTGAAATTGTGATCCCTCAGGATCCACACAATTTTATCACTTTGAACTGTTCAGTCACTAATAATCACCATTAAGTGATATTCATTTTGCACTTGCTGATATTGTATTATACAGTAGTATATATAATATATCCATATATTTATTAGCGCTGCACCTATTACTGTGATACATATCTTCTGGTATTCTGACTCGGCTTGTGACTAAGACCATTCTCTGTGTTTTCCTTCGATCTGACCTTCCGTTGCTGAACCCGGCCCGTGACCTGTTATTCTCTGTCTACTGTTCTGTACTGTTTTGTCCCGTTGTTGTCGACCCGGCTTGCCTGACTACGCTATTGTCATTCTCACCAGCTACTCGCCATTGGCGGCGGCCATTACCGCAGCCGGGGTGTCTCGGGGGCCGCGACCTGGTTCCTGGCTGCGTCAAGTCCATCCCCACCATCAGGGGCCCTGGTGAAGGGCAGCTTGGGACTTTAATAACTCTCCCCATGATAACATCACTTCAAGTTCAGTCATTTATAAAAATGTTCCTGTTCTTAGGCCATACTGGTGGACAATTCTGCATAGTTTATTCCTTCTGCAGGAGACAGATTATTGTCCGTTTTTATTGGTTATGATGTTTACAGGGAGACTGATTATTGAATTTAATTCACTCTATTTTAGAGCTTTTTACAGAAACATCTTAGTGTCAGTGTAAATCACAATCTGACTATTGTTTATGGTGTTTGTAAGTGACTTATGTAAATAAATATTGATTTTCATACTCTGCAGTCTATACCTACACAGATCTTGTTTGAGTTCTTAAAGAATTTTTCAGATTAAGTTATTTTTATAAATCATTTTTTGTATTGGAGACACTTGTGATTAAAACCAAAAATACCTCATTTGGCCTTTAGATGACGCTAAGTATCCTAGCAATTAGCACCATCTAGTGTCCAAAGTGTCAGGGAACACCTGAACAATTGATTTAGTCAGCTAAATCAATTGTTCAGGTGTTCCCTGACAATTTGGACACTAGATGGTGCTAATTGCTAGGATACTTAGCGTCATCTAAAGGCCAAATGAGGTATTTTTGGTTTTAAATCAATGGTTGGTTTAATTCTGTGGTTTTATGTAATTTATATCTTCAATGTTTGAAAATGTATGATCTCAGGTATTTGTACGAAATTACCCCTAACATAGTAAACTAAGGGGTCTATGCAAAAAATATATTGGGGGAGTGTGACAAGCATGTGTCCAGCTGTGACAAATTCTGGCCATATTTTAATAAACTCAGTGATTTCCTATAATCGTCAGCTCCCTCTAGTGGCCATAATGATGTATTACTTCCAAAATACCTCAATCAGGAAAAACAGTTTAATACCACATTATGGCCACTAGATGGAGCCAATGATCATAGGAAATCCCTGTATGAAAAGACCAACATGTGACATGGCTGAATGAATGCTGGTCATATTAGTTCATCTATTCTCTAAGTGGGGTGGTATCTATTGGGCCAATCCCTTTTACAAACCACACATAATATCGCCCTTCAAAGTGAAAACAGAAACGATTTGCACAAAAATCAAAGAGTAGAAATATTTTCCGGTGGATCCCCTCTACCCAGACCCCATATGTAGACATAGAACAACAAGCTGTGTTCCCTCTCGTGCCGCACTCCTCCAACCCACCCAAACCCACACAGAAGCCAAGGGAAATAATGAGAGGAAAGTTCCCCCCTAGTTTGGGGCGGAGTTCTCCTTCCCTCCTGTTGGGGGATGGGAGAAGGATGGACTGAAGACAGAGAGACGCTTCGGGGTCACCACTGTTCTGTAGAGCCTTGAAATGAAGGACATCAACTTCAGAAGTTCTTGTTGTCTGTGTAAAGTTCCCCGATAACGAGATCTGGGCTCTCCCGGCTTCTAGCTCTGTAACCCGCTATATCATTATCAGGAAACGCAACTCCGACACCCAAGAAGGGCTGAAGTTGTGTCCTTCATTTCCAGGATCTACTGACCACTCTGCACCCCGACATTTACTGCACTTCATCCATGTCTTTGGGGGCCTCATCTCCTTATCAACTGTTTCTTCCATGATGAAGATCAGCCATGGAGTATATCTGAGGTGTATATCAGGGTGTGCTTCTTCCCCACATGAGAGCTGGGATGTCCAGCAACATTCATCTAGAAGACATTTCCCGCACTCAAGGCACTAATACACCTCCAGGGTTGTGTGGGGGACCCCTGATGTACAGGAAGACAGGACTTCAGTGAGGAACATTTCCCTCACTCAGGACAGGAAAGTGGCTTCTTCCCCGTGTGAGATCTCTGATGTTTGGAAAGATGGACTTCTGTGAAAAAATTTCCCCACTCAGGACAGGAATACGGCTTCTCCCCGTGTGAGATCTCTGATGTGTGTTTCCCAAGATGGGACTTCTCTGAAAAAACATTTTCCCACACTCAGGACAGGAATATGGCTTCTCCCCCGTGTGAGATCTCTGATGTGTGTAAAGATGGACTTCTGTGAAAAACATTTCCCGCACTCAGGACAGGAATACGGCTTCTCCCCCGTGTGAGATCTCTGATGTGTGTAAAGATGGGACTTCTGAAAAAACATTTCCCACACTCAGGACAGGAATACGGCTTCTCCCCCCGTGTGAGATCTCTGATGTGTGTAAAGATGGACTTCTCTGAAAAACATTTCCCGCACTCAGGACAGGAATATGGCTTCTCCCCCGTGTGAGATCTCTGATGTGTGTAAAGACTGGACTTCTCTGAAAAACATTTCCCGCACTCAGGACAGGAATATGGCTTCTCCCCCCGTGTGAGATCTCTGATGTATGTAAAGATGGACTTCTTGAAAAACATTTCACTCAGGACAGGAATACGGCTTCTCCCCCGTGTGAGATCTGATGATGTAAAGATGTAAAGATTTTCCCGCACTCAGGACTTCTCTGAAAAACATTTCCCGCAAACATTTCCCACACTCAGGACAGGAATACGGCTTCTCCCCCGTGTGAGATCTCTGATGTGTGTAAAGATGGGACTTAATTGAAAAACATTTCCCGCACTCAGGACAGGAATACGGCTTCTCCCCCGTGTGAGATCTCTGATGTGTGTAAAGATAGGACTTAGCTTTGAAAAAACATTTCCCGCACTCAGGACAGGAATACGGCTTCTCCCCCGTGTGAGATCTCTGATGTGTGTAAAAGATAGGACTTATTTGAAAAACATTTCCCACACTCAGGACAGGAATACGGCTTCTCCCCCCTGTGAGAGATCTCTGATGTGTGTAAAGATTGGACTTATTGAAAAAATTTCCCGCACTCAGGACAGGAATACGGCTTCTCCCCCCGTGTGAGATCTTTTATGCCTATTAAGATGGATTTATAACTGAAACCCTTTCCCGCACTCAGTACAGGAGAACCTCTTCCCTGTTGGAAGGCCGGCCCGGTCCCGCACAGTCTGAGGTTCCTCAGGATACGAGGAATCCGATGGTCCATCTACACTGGGTGGTGCCGGATGGACATTGGAGGGAGCCGGGTTTTCTCCTGGACTATACTGTGTGATGTCCTCATCTTCTACTTTCCAGTCTGGAGACAAAGTGAGACAATCCTCGGAGGTTTTTCCCTCATCTCCCGGCCATGGACTAAAATACAAAGACAAAGAGGATTACTAGACAGGAGCTGATTGGTTCCCCCAAACCAGGACTCCGCCCACATCAGGCAGCTTGGTCTCTGAGGAGCTTACAATTCCACCCTCAAGGGAACTAGGAAATGGCTCCTCTGATCTCCTACCAGGTCATTTCTTTATTCATGGACCTTAGTCAGAGAGTGAGGAAACAACCAGAACTGTCTTTTATAGGAGGGACAGTGATGAGGGGATTATAGGAGGGGTCCCCACCCCCTCTATCACTCATCGCCATCTTCCCAACACAAGAAGTACTGCACTTCCTTATTTAGTCCATCCATGATTTAGTCATGAAGAACAGCGGGGCTGAGCCCCACCAGAGGTCAGAGAGTGAGGATGGGGGGGGAGAAACAACCAAGATGAAGACTGGACTGATCCTGAAGACCACCATCATTGGGGTATTGACTCCTCCCTCATTATCACTTTCTGTTTAAGGGTCCAAAGTTGGAGGATGTTATCACATTATTATCACCATGTAAAAGTCTGTGCTCCAATCACATCATCCGATATAAAATGTCCAGCTGGGAGGAAATGGGGGGAACAAAAGAGAATCCATATTATGTGTATATATAGCAGTGGGGGGAGGGGAGAGAGCAGAAGTCAGGAGTATGTAATGTACAACATAGAGTATATAGTGCAGGGGTCAGGAGTATGTAATGTACAACATAGAGTATATAGTGCAGGGGTCAGGAGTATGTAATGTACAAACATAGAGTATATAGTAGTGCAGGGGTCAGGAGTATGTAATGTACAACATAGAGTATATAGTGCAGGGGTCAGGAGTATGTAATGTACAACATAGAGTATATAGTGCAGGGGTCAGGAGTATGTAATGTACAACATAGAGTATATAGTGCAGGGGTCAGGAGTATGTAATGTACAACATAGAGTATATAGTGCAGGGGTCAGGAGTATGTAATGTACAACATAGAGTATATAGTGCAGGGGTCAGGAGTATGTAATGTACAACAGAGTATATAGTGCAGGGGTCAGGAGTATGTAATGTACAACATAGAGTATATAGTGTGCAGGGGTCAGGAGTATGTAATGTACAACATAGAGTATATAGTGCAGGGGTCAGGAGTATGTAATGTACAACATAGAGTATATAGTGCAGGGGTCAGGAGTATGTAATGTACAACATAGAGTATATAGTGCAGGGGTCAGGAGTATGTAATGTACAACATAGAGTATATAGTGCAGGGGTCAGGAGTATGTAATGTACAACATAGAGTATATAGTGCAGGGGTCAGGAGTATGTAATGTACAACATAGAGTATATAGTGCAGGGGTCAGGAGTATGTAATGTACAACATAGTATATAGTGCAGGGGTCAGGAGTATGTAATGTACAACACAGAGTATATAGTGCAGGGGTCAGGAGTATGTAATGTACAACATAGAGTATATAGTGCAGGGGTCAGGAGTATGTAATGTACAACATAGAGTATATAGTGCAGGGGTCAGGAGTATGTAATGTACAACATAGAGTATATAGTGCAGGGGTCAGGAGTATGTAATGTACAACATAGAGTATATAGTGCAGGGGTCAGGAGTATGTAATGTACAACATAGAGTATATAGTGCAGGGGTCAGGAGTATGTAATGTACAACATAGAGTATATAGTAGTGCAGGGGTCAGGAGTATGTAATGTACAACACATAGAGTATATAGTGCAGGGGGTCAGGAGTATGTAATGTACAACATAGAGAGTATATAGTGCAGGGGTCAGGAGTATGTAATGTACAACATAGAGTATATAGTGCAGGGGTCAGGAGTATGTAATGTACAACATATAGAGTATATAGTGCAGGGGTCAGGAGTATGTAATGTACAACATAGAGTATATAGTGCAGGGGTCAGGAGTATGTAATGTACAACATAGAGTATATAGTGCAGGGGTCAGGAGTATGTAATGTACAACATAGAGTATATAGTGCAGGGGTCAGGAGTATGTAATGTACAACATAGAGTATATAGTGCAGGGGTCAGGCGTATGTATGTATGTACAACATAGAGTATATAGTGCAGGGGTCAGGAGTATGTAATGTACAACATAGAGTATATAGTGCAGGGGTCAGGAGTATGTAATGTACAACATAGAGAGAGTATATAGTGCAGGGGTCAGGGAGTATGTAATGTACAACATAGAGTATATAGTGCAGGGGTCAGGAGTATGTAATGTACAACATAGAGTATATAGTGCAGGGGTCAGGAGTATGTAATGTAATGTACAACATAGAGTATATAGTGCAGGGGTCAGGAGTATGTAATGTACAACATAGAGTATATAGTGCAGGGGTCAGGAGTATGTAATGTACAACATAGAGTATATAGTGCAGGGGTCAGGAGTATGTAATGTACAACATAGAGAGTATATAGTGCAGGGGTCAGGAGTATGTAATGTACAAGTATACTTGGAGTATATAGTGCAGGGGTCAGGAGTATGTAATGTACAACATAGAGTATATAGTGCAGGGGTCAGGAGTATGTAATGTACAACATAGAGTATATAGTGCAGGGGTCAGGAGTATGTAATGTACAACATAGAGTATATAGTGCAGGGGTCAGGAGGATGTAATGTACAACACATGAGTTATATAGTGCAGGGGTCAGGAGTATGTAATGTACAACATTAGTATAGTAGAGGGTGGCAGGGGACAGGAGTATGTACATGTACAGATAGAGTATATAGTGCAGGGGTCAGGAGTGGTAATGTACAACATAGGTATATAGTGCAGGGTACAGGAGTTGAGTAATGTAGGAGTATGTAATGTATAACAGGTATATAGTACAGGGGTCAGGAGTGGACGTAATGTACAACATAGAGTATATAGTGGTACAGGGGTGGACAGGGGTATGTAATGTACAACATAGGTATATTGCAGGGGTCAGGAGGTGGTGTGTACAACGTGGTATACAGGGACAGGAGGGGTGGCGTACAACAGAGTATATAGGACAGGGGGGTGGCAGGTGGATGTGGTGTACACATAGGACAGAGGGGTGGGGGTGGGAGTGGTAACTTGGACAAGTTATGGCGTGGAAGTGGTATACTTGGACAGTATTAGTATTCTGTAATCAGTGGAAGCTTAAATGTTTACTGTAGACAGATGGGGTGGCGGTGGGACGTGGTATACTTGGACAGAGGGGTGGCGTGTGGACGTGGTATACTTGGACAGAGGGGTGGCGGTGGACGTGGTATACTTGGACAGAGGGGTGGCGGTGGACGTGGTACACTTGGACAGAGGGGTGGCGGTGGACGTGGTACACTTGGACAGAGGGGTGGCTGTGGACGTGGTATACTTGGACAGAGGGGTGGTGGTGGACGTGGTACACTTGGACAGAGGGGTGGCGGTGTGGACGTGGTATACTTGGACAGAGGGGTGGCGGTGGAGGACGTGGTACACTTGGACAGAGGGGTGGCGGTGGACGTGGTACACTTGGACAGAGGGGTGGCGGTGGACGTGGTACACTTGGACAGAGGGGTGGCGGTGGACGTGGTACACTTGGACAGAGGGGTGGCGGTGGACGTGGTACACTTGGACAGAGGGGTGGAGGTGGACGTGGTACACTTGGACAGAGGGGTGGCGGTGGACGTGGTATACTTGGACAGAGGGGTGGCGGTGGACGTGGTACACTTGGACAGAGGGGTGGCGGTGGGACGTGGTACACTTGGACAGAGGGGTGGCGGTGGACGTGGTACACTTGGACAGAGGGGTGGCGGTGGACGTGGTACACTTGGACAGAGGGCGGTGGACGTGGTACACTTGGACAGAGGGGTGGCGGGTGGGGGGGTGGACGTGGTATACTTGGACAGAGGGGTGGCGGTGGACGTGGTATACTTGGACAGAGGGGTGGCGGAGGACGTGGTACACTTGGACACAGTTCCCCACACACGGCTAATGTGTATGGTAACTTACAAGGTCATGACTGGCTGGAAAAATCTGATTGTAAATTCGGTATAATAACTGGCTGAAAGATTCCACTTCGGGGCGATCCCCAATTTTTGCCAATTACGGGTGTCAGTGGGGGACCTGACCCAAGGTTCAGTGTTATTAGTGTCCCTGTACCCCAAGGTTCAGTTTGTTATTAGTGGGGTACCCCAAGGTTCAAGTGTTATTAGTGGGGGTACCCCCAAGGCTCAGTGTTATTAGGGGGTTCCCCAGGAGAAGTGTTATTAGTGGGCTACCCAACCGGGGGACAGTGTCTTAGTAGGGTACTTCCAATTTGGGATGTCTTGTAGTGGAAAAAAAAAATGGGCCGAAATTTAAGGGTCCATTCCGGGTGAAATGGAAATCAATGTGCGGCGTAATGAACTGGCCACTTCCAGGAACTTTTAAGATTTACAGTGCCGCCCCAAATCCACGTGTCGGGGGGTACTGAAGCCAATGCAGTACCAGTGGTTCCCGAAGGTCCAGACACTTGGGGGTAGGCCATAAGGTTTAATGAATTAAGGGGTACCCACCAAGGAGGTGTGAAGCAATCATAGGGGAAAATGGTGGAGGCCAGGATCACAGTCCTGATATTAGTGGGGAAGGAGTGTGGTCCTGGGAGAAGGATCTGGGAGCCGGCCCAGAATGTTCACGAAGGATTGTCCGGGAGTTCTTATTATCGTAGACACCCATCGGTGGGGTCAATTGGTTGGGCAAGGTTCAATTGTTGGATATGGAGGGGGGCAATGTCAGGGATTGCGGCTGGCGGACACGTGGGTCCCATGGTGCAGAACGCCGATTCATTCTAGCAATGCGGGACTAGGACCTGTGGCAGTGGTGGCAATGTGGACGCACATTCATTCATGGGTTACCCCAGGGATCTGTTAGTCGGGACGCTCGCCTGGCACAATGAAGGATCTGGGGGGTATTTAAACCTGCCCTCCACAGACTTCATTGTTATGGTCTTGTATCCTGTGTTCCCAAGTTCCTGTGGGGGTACCACAAGGACTCAGTGTGATTAGTGGTGTTACCGACCCTGCCTGATCCAGTGACACCTCTGCTGACTTTTAAACTCCTGGATCCTGACCTCTGCCGGCTTCTCCCTGATCCTGTTCTCTGCCGGGTTCTCCTGATTCCTGACTGTTCTGCCGGCTTCCCTGATCCTGACCTCTGCCGGCTTCTCCTGATCCTGACCTCTGCCGGGTTCTCCTGATCCAGACCTCTGCCGTCTTCTCCTGATCCACCACCTCTGCCGACTTCTCCTGATCCTGACCTCTGCCGACTTCTCCTGATCCTGACCTCTGCCGACTTCTCCTGATCCTGACCTCTGCCGACTTCTCCTGATCCTGACCTCTGCCGACTTCTCCTGATCCTGGACCTCTGCCGACTTCTCCTGCTCTGACCTCTGCCGACTTCTCCTGATCCTGACCTCTGCCGACTTCTCCTGATCCTGACCTCTGCCGACTTCTCCTGCTCTGACCTCTGCCGACTTCTCCTGCTCTAGACCTCTGGGGGTCTTCTCCTGGATCCAGACCTCTGCCGGGTTCTGGTGGATCCACAGGATTCTGAAGGGGTCCACACCTCTGCCGACCTTCTCAGGAGATCCAACCTCTGCCGACTTCTCCTGATCCACACCTCTGCCGACTTCTCCTGATCCACAGGACTTCTGGTGGAGAACACCTCTGCCGACTTCTCCTGGATCCAGGATCTCTGGGGACTTCTCCTGATCCAGACCTCTGCCGGGGGTCAATGGTCCACAAGGATCTGCCGGACTTCTCCTGATCCAGACCTCTGCCGACTTTCCTGATCCAGAACTCTGCCGACTTCTCCTGATCCAGACCTCTGCCGACTTCTCCTGATCCGACCTCTGCCGACTTCTCCTGATCCAGACCTCTGCCGACTTCTCGATGGCAGGGCTGTCAATGATTCCAGGGTCCTCTGCCGACTTCTCCTGATCACAGACCTCTGCCGACTTCTCCTGATCCAGACCTCTGCCGACTATCTGCTGATCCAGACCTCTGTTACCGACTTCTCCTGATCCTGACCTCTGCTGACTTCTCCTGATCTGACCTCTGCCGACTTCTCCTGATCCAGACCTCTGCCGACTTCTCCTGATCCTGACCTCTGCCGACTTCTCCTGATCCTGACCTCTGCCGACTTCTCCTGATCCTGACCTCTGCCGACTTCTCCTGATCCTGACCTCTGCCGACTTCTCCTGATCCTGACCTCTGCCGACTTCTCCTGATCCAGACCTCTGCCGACTTCTCCTGACCAGACCCTCTGCCGACTTCTCCTGATCCTGACCTCTGCCGACTTCTCCTGATCCTGACTTCTTCTCCTGCTCTGACCTCTGCCGACTTCTCCTGCTCTGACCTCTGCCGACTTCTCCTGATCTTCTGACCTCTGCCGACTTCTCCTGATCCTGACCTCTGCCGACTTCTCCTGATCCTCACCCTCTGCCGACTTCTCCTGATCCTGACCTCTGCTGACTTCTCCTGCTCTGACCTCTGCCGACTTCTCCTGCTCTGACCTCTGCTGACTTCTCCTGCTCTGACCTCTGCTGACTTCTCCTGCTCCTGACCTCTGCTGACTTCTCCTGCTCTGACCTCTGGCTCATTTGACTTCTCTCCTGGATATCCCTATTTGATCTGACCTCCTGTTACTGAACCCGGCGAGTGACCCGACTACTACTCTTTGCCTGCTGCCTTGTACTACGCTGACCCCACTGTTACCGATCCGGCCCATCTGACCACGCTCACTACTCTGCCATCCATCCATCCTGCACAGATCCAGTCATCACGGCTCCAGCCTTCCAACCTCTTCACGTCAGGCTCTCTACCTGCATATACCTCTGGCGGATCCCTCTACCACGGGCAGGTGTACTCAGGGGCCGCGACCTGGTCACTGTCTGCTCCAAGTCCATCCCCACCATCAGGGGTCCTGGTGAACAAGCAGACTGGGACTTAGACTCCGCGCTCTGGGGAATCCTGTCCTGGGGACTGCTAGAGGTACTGCCAGGCGGTGTTTGACAGGGACAGTGGTGGAGAAGAATCTGTGGGGGGTCAATGGTGGAGAAGAATCTGTGGGGGGTCAATGGTGGGGGGTCAAGAAGGATCTGTGGGGGGTCAATGGTGGAGAAGGATCTGTGGGGGGGGGGTTCAATGGTGGTGAAGAATCTGGGGGGTCAATGGTGGAGAAGGATCTGTGAGGGTCAATGGTGGAGAAGGATCTGTGGGGGGTCAATGGTGGAGAAGGATCATGGTGGGGGGGTCAATGGTGGAGAAGGATCTGGGAGGGTCAATGGTGGAG